ACCCAAGGGAGAAAAACCATTCAGTCCATTGATATATTTTCCTATCCTCGGTTTACATACAAAAAGTTTTTTCACATTCATAAAAATCTTATTATAAATGACAAACCCTCCCTTGCCCACCCCTCAAATATACAAAGATCTTCATAAATATACAATTTAAATTGGTTTAATCTTGAAGTACAATCCAATGAGACTGAAAACTAAACATTTCAAGTCTTGTACCAAATAGTAAAATACTTGAAGGCCTTCTGGATCTTTCGACTGATTTACATCAATAAGAGAACCTATCTTTGATGTAAAAGAAATATGTTCATCTCCAATTACAATTTCAAGCTCCTGCTGGCCAACCTGGTCAGGGGGTGGCCACAAAGCATCGTCTTCTTTTATAATTTCACTGTCATCAATAATTCTCTTCAGTTCTTCCATTACACTTTTGTGGACATATGCCTCTTTTCTGATCATAACATCGTTTTTGTAATTGCTATTGTTGGCATATCTAAGCTTCCCGTCCGGCCGAAACTCAAACTCTAAAGACTCATGTCCGAACTTTCCCTTTTGCCCTACATAGTAGCGCAGGTAGAAATCACTAGCCATAGACATTTTCGTTCCTGGGAAAGGCGCCTAAAGCCTAGTCAACATGCCACCAGACGCTTCAGTCAACGTGCCACCAGACGCTTCCCCTCTCCAGTTCTTGGGGCTGCTCTCCTGGGTGGAATTAGTAAGCTCATTTTTATGGGTAAGGAGACCTGGAACTTGCCCACTGTACACAGTGTTCTGAGCCCCGTTGAGGTCAGATAGCAATATCCATTCTAGGGTGCCTTTTTGCTTGGGACTCAGGCTCACAGGACCCTCATTCAGTCTTGTCTCCTGGGCTCTGGGTCCCTGGCAGCTCTGGGTCACCTACCTTCCTGACCGTCTCATTACCCAGAAAAAGAGAGACCTTGTGTGTCCCTAAGTGGTCACCCTGCACTCACCCCATTCCTCTCACCTGAATGCTTGCTTGCCTTGGCTCCTTGCCCTGCCCTCAAGGCCCAGCAGCTGCAGTGCCAGTTCTGCTCGAAGGCTTTTGTGCGCTCAGTGGCAGTATGTAGTCTCCCACACAGCACTGCGCCTGCCTTGTTCAGGCCACCCCAGAAGGTGGTGAGGCCAGGGCTGAGGTGGGTGGTCCCTGTTCCTAGAAAGCATCCTGGTTCTCCAGGACCAGGGGCAGAAGCAGAAGGCATCACTGTGCCTGAGAATTGTGTTTCTCTTTCAGATCAAGCGCTCATCCATCCGGAAGGGCATGGTGATGGTTTCCCCTCGTTTGAATCCCCAAGCATCCTGGGAATTTGAGGCTGAGATTCTTGTCCTCCACCACCCCACCACGATTAGCCCACGCTACCAGGCCATGGGTATGTGTTTCCAGCCTTACAGTGCCATCCCCCAGGGCCCACCAGAAAGTGCTCCAGCTGCAGCTAAGAGCAGGTCCATGTCCCCATCCTGCTCCTCAAAGCCATCCCCTCTGTTCTCCCCACGAGCTGCAGCGTCGTGTTGGTCTGCATGTGGTCACTGAGGGCTCCGAGACCCAGACCTGCCCTCATTCCTTGAGCGCATGATAGCTGAGCACGGCTGAGTGCCTGGTGTATTGCAGAGGTGCTAGGACAAAGACGGCATAGTGGCTCACCATCCAGTTAGGAGGTGCACATGCAGACACAGTGCCCTGTAATCCCCAGAGCTAGGGTGTGGGGTGAACGCACAGGTCTAGCTGGAGGAATGGGGGAGCTGAGGCAGGATCAGGCTGAGTGCAGGCCTCCAGCTGTCCCTGTACGACTCCTTAAGGGTTTTGACTCCAGAGGTGAGCCCCTAGCGCTGCAGCTTAAGTATATTTTATGCTGTCACTCACTGTCCCCTTGTCCTGACGCCACAGAGCGCCCCAAGCCTGTCCTGACCTCCTGCTCCCTTGGCAGTGCACTGTGGGAGCATCAGGCAGACGGCCACCATTCTGAGCATGGACAAGGACTGTCTGCGTACTGGGGACAAGGCCACTGTCCACTTCCGCTTCATCAAGACTCCTGAGTATCTGCACATAGACCAGCGGCTGGTGTTCCGAGAAGGCCGCACCAAAGCTGTCGGCACCATCACCAAGGTATGGACCAGATCTATGTCACCTGTCCCAGGATGCACCAATGTCCAGCCCAACAGGGTGACTGTGACTTCGAGCTCCTTCTGAGCTCCTACCCTCTCCTTGGGCAGGGCTGGGTCAGTACTGAGCTCTGGCTTCTGTGCCATCGTCTTTCCTGCCACAGGAGATATCCCTGGGCCTTGGATTGGCTCCCAGCATCTCTCCCTGGGAAATGGTGGGCCGATGTTCTGGGCCTAGTCAGGGTCCAGCTCCAAGGTGCCAGCTCTGGTTCCCATCCTACAGTGCAGTGGGTGTGCTTTTGAGTGAATGCTGGGCAGTGCAGGCTGTGGTTTTGGATTCCCAGGGGCTTGAGCTCTGTGCCTGGCCAGGAGCCCACTTTGCCCTCTGCAGACCTCAGCCCTGGCGCGAGTGGGGCATTCAGTGGAGGCTTTGGCCCCTGCTGTGATTGGAGGAAGATGTGGTCTCCAAGGGCCTGAGCTCTTGGAATCAGAATCAGGGACTGGCAGGGCAATGTGGGGGACGCTCCGCAGACAATGTAGCATTTTCTGGGATTTGGCTGGGCTGTTCCCTACTATGTTTGAAACTAAATTTAAAGCCCAAGGGAAGATTCCAAGGCAATTGTTCCTGTGTGGTACATTTTTTGTTGTTGTTGTTTCATTTTGAAGACAGGGTCTTGCTGTGTAGTTCTGGCTGGCCTTGAATTCACTGTGGAGCCCAGGCTGGCCTCGGATTCATGCCTCAGCCTCCTGAGAGTGCTGGGGTTAGGGGCATGTGCTACCATGCCTAGCCTGGGTGGTAGCCTTTCAGGGTTTCTCACAGACTCCCATGAGTTTTTTTGTTTGGGGGGTTTTTTGCTCCGAATGCCTTCAGGGCAGGTTTGGCTGGCTTGAGTTGTGGGGATGGAACCACAGCAACCTGAGCCTGACAGCTTTGTTGAAGCAGCCACTTAAAGAGCTGAGCTAAGGGGCAGGCCCCCTCCCATGAGTTTTTAAGGATTTTTTTTTTTTTTTT